TACGCCCTTCACACTCTTACGGCTGTTTCGGCAGCTTATCACATTCTTGTCATAACTGCAGAAAAGTTTCTGGCAATTGCTCAACCACTGAGACATCATATAGTCACCAAAAAGGCAGTGTTCAAAGTATTAGCGGGAATTTGGTTCATATCAGCTTTTATCGCTATAATACCGCTCTCTTGGCGGAATGCCAAATCAAAAAGCCTTGCTCTTATCATTCATTCTTCCTTTTGCCTCGCTCTCGTATTCTTGGTCCCGTATGTATTTATGGTGTACGCGTACACGGTGATGTTCAAAGTCGTCACCGGTAGAAAGAGGCCATCACAACATGGACACAAACAGCGACTACAAAAGAAAAACAAAACCGACCGAAAGTGTATCTTTGTATTTGCTTTGATGGCGGCGACATATCTGTGCTGTTGGCTGCCGTATTTCACACTCATGTTAATTATTAACATCAAGATTTATAGCAAGTCCAACGATTTAGTAGCTATAGAGAAAGCTACGAATGCTTTCGCAGTTATTAGATACATAACATCGGCAACGAATCCATTACTCTACACTTTTTTCAAGCGCGATTTTTGGATAGCCTTGCATGTTACTTCGGTAAGGAGAAACTCGATTTTCTCTGAAAATAGCACACCTCGTGGTTCGAAGGAAACGCACAAAAAGTTTCCCGGGGTTGCTGCCTTCACGAGTACCAGAAATACAGAAATAAAATAAAACCACCGGAGAAGCCTTCTTCGACAGTTTTGAATGAACACCTGATGGAGGTTTTTGTCATTATCAGATCATTTACTCGCTGATATAGTCGTGATAAGGGAGAATAACGAAGCCAGAAAACTTGCTTTATCAGAAACAGGAGCCAGGTCTTGTCTTATTAACGTATTACTGAGTCAGTTAGAACAGGCGGAACTTTGTTCAGTTACATTTTTTGCCTCATTTATGCATGCTTATCATTCTCTGATTTAACTATTGAAATAACATTTTTGAATATCGAAAGAGCATAGCAATATTAGTTATCCTTGGAAATTTGAGCTTGATATACAAAATCACTCGGTTTTTGCCACGCAGCAACTCCGTGTTCACTACGCTGTTCAAGGTCACTTCGGTCGCGCATGGACATGAGTGTACAACCCAACATTTGTCGTGTCTTGCTCATGAGTAGCCTGATATTCATCCGATTGCTTCGAGTCGTTTTCTCCTCTCAACAACGTCTGAATCGACCGGCCGTTAATGCCGTCCAGTGACGTCACTCACTACCCGAAAACCGGGTAGTGATTTTGATTGGTTGATTGTCTAAANATAGCCTTGCATGTTACTTCGGTAAGGAGAAACTCGATTTTCTCTGAAAATAGCACACCTCGTGGTTCGAAGGAAACGCACAAAAAGTTTCCCGGGGTTGCTGCCTTCACGAGTACCAGAAATACAGAAATAAAATAAAACCACCGGAGAAGCCTTCTTCGACAGTTTTGAATGAACACCTGATGGAGGTTTTTGTCATTATCAGATCATTTACTCGCTGATATAGTCGTGATAAGGGAGAATAACGAAGCCAGAAAACTTGCTTTATCAGAAACAGGAGCCAGGTCTTGTCTTATTAACGTATTACTGAGTCAGTTAGAACAGGCGGAACTTTGTTCAGTTACATTTTTTGCCTCATTTATGCATGCTTATCATTCTCTGATTTAACTATTGAAATAACATTTTTGAATATCGAAAGAGCATAGCAATATTAGTTATCCTTGGAAATTTGAGCTTGATATACAAAATCACTCGGTTTTTGCCACGCAGCAACTCCGTGTTCACTACGCTGTTCAAGGTCACTTCGGTCGCGCATGGACATGAGTGTACAACCCAACATTTGTCGTGTCTTGCTCATGAGTAGCCTGATATTCATCCGATTGCTTCGAGTCGTTTTCTCCTCTCAACAACGTCTGAATCGACCGGCCGTTAATGCCGTCCAGTGACGTCACTCACTACCCGAAAACCGGGTAGTGATTTTGATTGGTTGATTGTCTAAACATTCGCATAATTATGTATAATTATGAAAAATTTGGCGGGATTGTCGCTTGGTATTCAGCGGATCGCATCCTTGGCATTCTTTCGTTTAGTACAAACATTTCTGTAAGCTTAATCTTTATCTTAAACAGCAAAATTGCCCTTGTCTTTGAAACTGAAATGCTAAATTGAACTGCGAATGAAGAATCATTGCGGAGAGTCGGTAGGTTTTTCATTTAGAGCCGATTTGTGGTTTCGGCGGCCGGTGATTTTGTTTACGCGAAGTTTTCTGAGATCAATGTTATAATTCGACCTTCTTGCTATTTTTACCGTCAAGTGTAATGATTCTGTTAGCTTTTCTGTCTTGTCTCCTTGTTTTTTTTTCTTCGTTAAGGACCAAATAGCTTCTTTTCAATTAAAGCAAATCATTGTGTTTTTGAACTAAGTGTTCCGTTTGTGTGTTTATTTCATTGCGCGATTGCGACCGAGTTTGATTGTAGAATTTAGTACAACCGGTTCAGAGTTGTACATGTATTGCATGTAGTTGATAGTTTGAACGTTAAACATGAATTACGATCGAAAAAATAAAGCAGTTCTGTATCATGCAGACCGGCATTTCCAAGCGATATTTCTCGATTTGCCCCTTAAAAATCGTGTTTTACTTTTTGCATGAATTAAGGCAAAGGTCAAGGAGTAGTGACGTCACTGGACGGCATTAACGGCCGGTCGATTCAGACGTTACTGAGGGAGTAATAACGACTCGAAGTAATCGGATGAAATTCAGGCTAGCTCATGAGCATAACCATTGGTAACAAAAACATCGTCACTTAAAATGTGCCCATCATGGTCCAGAGGGAGCTAATCGCACGTGTTTAAAGAGCTAATTGGCGTGCAGGTTATTGTTTAAAAAGTAGGTTCTTGCAGTTATTGAATATTAAATATTAGGTTTCTTGTTTAGTTTATATTCTTCTTGCTGAAGAATTACCTGGTGACGGCTTATACAACTACAATATAATTCAGCCATTGTGTGAATTAAAGTAACAAAGAAGTTTACGATTTTATAATGTCACCACTAGTGAAGTAGTTTTTAAACGTTTAGGCTCAGTGCTGTACAGTCTCTGAGACACGTTCACGAACATAATGTGCTCCGTCTCTGCTGTTTGTTCACAGCTACAAACCACCTTGCTGAAGAAAAAGCAAAGCAAGACGGTTCGGAAGTTTTTGGTTATTGCTTTCAACCGCGTTACATGTATTGCGAAACTGATCGGCTCAAGTGGGTTCCTAAGGGCTCGGCGCAGAACGCATGTTCCCCAGTAAGAAAACTTCAACATCTTTTGTCATTCGGTTGCCGTTGTATCAAGTCTTGAAGTTTTCACGTGTAAAATTCACCCTCGTTCCCAAGGTTCCTTTCTACGATAGAGAGAAACTTGGGAGAAAGGATGCGCCTAGTGATGTAGCTATCACGTGGGAGACGCCTGCTGTTCACGTGCTAGGAAATGTCAATATCTATGCCTTTAGGTTGCCATGGGATGTAATCTTCAACATTTTTAGGTGCGAAATTCTCCAGGTAAAGAATTCTCTGGAAACAAGGAGGCGTCCAGTACTGTAGCGATCACGTGGGAGTCTCCTGCTGTTCACGTGCTAGGAAATGTCAATATCTATGTCCTTAGGTTGCCATGGGATACAGTCTTCAACATTTGCAGGTGTGAAATTCTCCGGAAAAACCGTCGGTGCAATGGCGTCCTGTGACTGAAGAGAATACTGTGCCGCTAGCATCCCTGCTTTTACGCATAAAACTGGAGGCTGGCCCCGGATTATAAAAGAAGCCATTGCAGCAGCAAAGCTGAAAATTCAAAGAAAACAGCAATCAGGAGAATTGTAAATTAACTTTTATGATTTTAACAAAAACTTGTGAAATATACTATAGTTAATTATAACTTTCTGCTGATTCACAACAAGCACAGCTTAAAACCAATTAAGAAAGGCGCAAGGCAAGAAATTTCACGATTGTAAATAGCTATCGATATCTGTTATTATCATTATTATTATTATTTTATTTTTATTTTTTAGTTATACCTAGTCTTATATAATTCATTAGTAGATTATTAAGTATTTTTCTTGTAGTTTATATATATATATATATATTTTTTTTTCTTGTAATTTAAAGTCTTATCATTATTGCAAATTAACCAATAATAGCCTCTTAGGACTGGTTAATAAAGCTATTATATCGTACTGTATTCTCAGTTCCAATTGCATTCAAGCATTTTCGTTTCTGATTGACGCAAATCTCCCAACTAATTCTACATAACGAGCTAGCGTTGACCAAATTTGGAAGATGCTTAAGATTTTGGTACCAATGACGTCAATTGTACAGAATATTGACACAAAAAGGGACGGCAACCGGGAAGTCCCTGGGGACAAGATTAGGCTTGAGTAACTCAGCAAGAAATTTTGGTTTTGGTAGAGCTGGGACAAATGGCGGAAAATTCCACACATTTTGCGAAGAAATAGCAAAACCAAGCTAAACCACTGCCCAAAAAACGTGGCAAGAACAGCAAAAATACAACTCGAAGGATGATAACTTCGTTTTGAAGAATATCTATTAAACTCATCATCCCGCCCAGGTGTCCCGCCTCTATCCGTCTAATATCACACAAAGTGAAAAAAATGAACATGACCTTCACAGCAGAATGAACGCTTTTTAGGTTGTCGTTCTACTGCGAAGATCATGTTCACTTTAAAATTTTTCAATGGATTGTGAATTCCAAAACTAGTGTAGCTATGAACTGTCAAATACCCCCGTATACAGACACCAAAAGAATGGCTATTGAAGGGGGATGGTATCTGACGCTATAATGGTAAAATACATCCCAACATCTTACCTGTCACCTGCGCCTGTGACGTTACCATTTTGCACGTGACCACCTGGGGCCGAGGCGGGAAAATGCCGCGCTGACACTAAACTGTGTTGCCGCGTTGGAGCGTGACTTGAAAAATGAGCCGTCGGGAATGGAGTATCAGCGGTAGTATCTCTACAAACCAAGGCTCCATGTTTGCCTAATGTAACTATTACACAATGTATGTGTTTCAAGAGCGGTTTACATAGAGTTAAACACTCGGTGATAACACTGTCTAAAGAACGATCTCTATCAGTATCCTCCTCCTCACTGAGGTTTCTTGGCTGTTCTTGTTGTTGTTTCATTAATGTAGAGTTCATTGATCTTAGTTCCTTTATATTTGGTGATATATAGGTTATATTATGCCACGCATCAGAAAGAAAGGGTTTCTCTGCTTTCATTAAACACGTAGGCTCGAACCAGACTGTCATAAAAACAAAATAAGACTGATTAATAGAACATAAATATGAAATAAAATAGAAATATGCCCGGCGCTTACTAAATACACTGTTGGCCCAGCCTACAGTAGACTGTGTGCTAATTTTATTTATTTTTTTATTTTATTTTACCAGCTTTTCTGGACACAAGCCTGCCCAGAGGGAATGTGCACGAACGGGAGTCATAGGTCCCATGCAAGGTGCCATCCCTACCCAATCCCACAACCCGCAAAGGTTGGCCACACCACCGGGGTCTACGACCTCTACTCTTTTCGAATAGTGATGTAGGTTCTTTTACGTCCCACAAGAACAAATCAGCGAAAGTGCTGTAAGACGGGACCAACGGTTTTTCTTCCTTATCCGAAAAGACTAGAAAGTCTAACCATTTGCAGATGTCATTACAAAGGCAGCACTTTCTTCTCATTTACTTTAAAGACCCTGAGTGTTGCTCCGGCCGCGGTTTAAACCCTCGACCTCCCGCTCGGCAGACCGGCGCTCTCACAACTGAGCTAACAAGGCGGCGGTAAATAATACTCACCAAGGAACTACACGATTGCTGCACTAAAATGCTAAGAGTATTTTAGAACATGGAATAATCTTGTAAGCAACACAACCCAGTCTATAAGGCTAGTACTTCACCCCGAAAAAAATAACGTTAGTATACCGCCTTCCTTACTGCTGGTTTTCAGTGTCACGCCATTCAAAATAGATCAAAATAAGAATCAAAACCGTTCAATAGATAACGTCCAGAATCTGGGAAATGAAAGAAGGCACATATACATGGACCCTCGCCAAGATTCAGGTCAGAGGAATACTTCGTATACGACATATCCGAAGAAATGTTTTACCCAAACTTATAGAGATTTGTATGGAGACGCCATGCTGGTGCTCACCTGAATGAGCTCCAATATGGAGGACGGAAACCAACACAAACATCTGTTACCGAGTTTTGCTACAAAAGCGTGAATTTATTCTTCGAGAAACTCATAAACATTAAAGTAATACTTTTTCGAATACATTTGCTGTTTAGATAGCAACATTTCCTGAAATAAGTCATTTTTTTAACCTAAATGACAACTCTCTTGGCCGTCATGTAAATGCCGCGTCACGCAAAAGCTTAGAAATTCAAGCGTACTCTATCACAAAACCAAGAACCCTTTTGAAGCGAAAATTTGTATGAAAATTAGTTTTCAGCTGCTCTAATAAATCGTAAAAGTAAGTACATTTATTCATCGCTCATGTTCTACCTGGAACTAGTTTTGTGTTGAAGAACTTATGATTTTGACTTTCCTTTTGATTTCTTTTTTACCTGGAATATGATTGGCTGCACAGAAGCTACACGCATGATCAATAGCTTCTTGGGTGATATTGCCGTCCAACATCAGTAGGGGAGCGTGTTTGATTGGTTCCTCAAAAGCGGAAATCTAACAGTAAGAACAAAACAGTAGTAAGCGACGGTCCTTTAGCAACTAGCCAATCAGCGTTAAGCATTGAACCCATGTGACCGAATTCAACCAATGAGCCTTTTCCACCTTGTGCCACTCAAAACACTTCTTTCAACTTCACAGCCCCTCGGGAGTTTACATCAGGGTACAAAATTACGAAAAACGTAAGAGTGAAAATCAATAAAAAATACATGACAAATTCCAATAAAAATATGAAACAAAAATAACAAATATAAAGAAAATAGAAAAAATTGGCTGATTTATGGAAAAAATATAAAGGAACAGACTTTAAAAACATGCAGAATTTCTCAAAAGATTGGTCCACAAAGATTACTGTCACAGTCCCCGAAATTTAGCGTGAGGTTAATAATTGTTTAGTGTCCCCACTATCTACTTGTCGTCAGATAACGCATATGCATCGTGTGTCTTGATCCTGATACCATTCACTGTGCCAAGCACCTCTGCCCTTAACATTAGGGGGCTTAATAAGAGAGACGGCAGCGAAAACGTCACCTTAAAAGGGCACTCGCTTTCTTTTAAACTTTATCGCTACTTTAAAAACGACAAGTAGACATCGGGCTAATCGACTAACGTTCCGGCGAAACAACATCGGGCGAATCAGCCTGTTCAGTTACCGCAATTACCATATTTATTCGATCAACCACCTTGGGCGCTTATTAAATTTCTGGACCTTGAGACTGGCCGCTTATTCGAGGTGGGCGCTTATTCGAGGCTGGGCGCTTATAAAATCTTCACTATTTTCAGCAAGTTTAGTATGTTTGTTTCGCAACAAAACAATAAATGGTAACAGCAAACACGAAGATGTAAAAAAGCAAGGTTTCTGTAAAATACTCTGAAGAAAACTCCGTCTGCGGTGAAGTCTCTCTTATTATAGTCCTTATTCAATTTTTTTTGTTTGGGTGAGAGGGGAAAGAAGGATTGGGTGGGGGTTGAAGCTTATTAACTTTTTCTGCCTTTGGGATGGGCGCTTATTCGCGGTGGGCGCTAATTTGAGGATGGGCGCTAATTCGAATAAATACGGTATCCCAAAGCACTAGATACGTCAAAAGTAGGCATATTTTTCTAAAACTGAGTTCTTAGGGAGGAAAGAAAATTCACCGCCTTACGTTCACGACCTCCTAATAACGTTATATTAGCATGTTTCACGTTGTACTCATGCAGCATAGGAAAAAGTGATGTACTTAAAAGCGTGATGCATGTGCAAAGGTTTTTAAGTTATTGGTGTCGTCACCGTCGTGACATTTTTAATTCCCTCCTCCCTTGCAAGCAACTTACATTATCCGGTGTGATAACTTTATGAATATCCATATCACCAACAGCCACGTGATATTCGCCATCTTGACTCAGTATCGCTGAGTAAGTACCAGTGTGATTTACTTTAGATGTATAAATACCTCGTGTAACCTGGAAGGTGGAAAAAAGGTGAGTACTGTTATAGAGCTTAAGAGGAGAAGGGGGTAGAACGAGTAGTCTGTACGTGTAAAATATTACAAACAGCGAGCTAACCGGAGACCAGGGACACCCAACGACGGTTTCCTCTTAAATACATTGATGAGACTTTTTCGGCTATCCAGGGTACTTTTAGATGTCTAGAAATGTATTCTAAGCGGCGCTATAAAATTTGCAACTGTTTGGTCATCCTAGGGGTACTTGAGTCTTCTCGAAATTACAAGGGCTTCAGTCAGTTCAGTATTATTTTTCCGAAAATTTTAGATGCAATTTGACGTATCATGACGAAAGTGAGAAATTTTCTGATTTCTCTCTCCATTGCATTTTTGAGTCCGAAAATTTTAGTTTCCTTTTCCCTACGAAACATGGCCTAACTTGGGAAGTAAAATGTGAAAAATAAACGTCAGAAAATCGTAGGGAATTGATTAGATAAGCTTAGAAAACTGTACATGAGTGGTATGGTCATCTAGAAATTTTTAGCCGTCCTCAAGTACGAGAAATTTCAAGGCAATATTTGCTTCTCCGAACATATATTTCACAGAAAACAGTCGTTGGGTTGCCCCTGGGAGGGAAAAGGGTTGGTAATTGACCCTTCACAGAGGTTTTTCAACTTTTGACATGGACCAGTTAGGGAAAAACTGTCGCCACTTGTATGCTGGGGGAGGGGGGGGGGGCAAGTTTGTGCCCCTCCCCACCCCCCACCATACAAACGTCAATAAAATTTCGCCACTTTGAGGAGTTATATCTTCGTTAGTTTTAATGACGCTGCCCACTATTGTTACTGCGCACACTTTCTGCGCATTTCGGGACTTCCCCCGCGGGACAAGGACGCGCGGGTTAACTTTAATTTACTTTCGCAATGCTCTTTCGCGACATTGGCTTTTGCGCTTTCTAGATACACTGGAAGTAAAGACTCCTAACGTAATGGACAGGATAAGAAAACGCAACGGGAGATTCATCTCTACCAAAAGCAAGCGAAAAAGAGTTTCTTTCAAACTTGGTAGCCTGTTCCATGCGTTCGGATAGGGGAAAGCGGCGCGAAGGAAGAGAGCGAGAAAAAAATAAGGAAGAAAAGATGGAGAGGAAAAGCATCTTTCATACTGCCAAGGTCAGCAGTCTTGTAAATGACTTTTAACTAAAATAATGATAAATGAAAATTGTAAATTTTAAGGTTAGTTATGAACGAGGAACGTGACGTTATAATCGCCATGTCACTGAAGTCAGAGTGAGACAAAGTAAATCTTACGTCCCCGGCAGGTTTTGAACCTATGAGCCCACGAACACCGGGGTGGGCGCTCTATACAGTGAGCTATGGGGAGCCGGCAAGGAGCTACTTTATTACCATGTTAACTTCTTCACAGTGTTTAAGCATCATAACTCCTAGAGGGTCTGTTCCTATCGCAGATATAAACACAGGCTTCGACCCCAGACGAGCCAGACATTCTGTAGACAAAAAATATAAAACTACAAGCAGTACAGCCAAGCAGTTCAACAATAACAGTACCCTAGCAGAGGAAGTCAAATAACATACATGACTACCAATCGCGATCTACTTCATACATTCAGAACATCAGCAAAAATTCTTTGGGTCACCGACAAGGTTTTAGCATATCCAATGTACACAATTTTCTCCTCACCTCAAACACACACACAGTGTTGTTGAAACTAGTGAATATGCTTGCGGAAATTACTAATGCTTTAAAGGTTAAAAAAGCCAGTTAAGACAACAATACCTGCTAAGTTTCTTCCTACTCCACCAAAACTCATCCTCACTTGTCCAGGGTTGGATGCTTCAGACTGTATACATGAAAAAAAGGTATTAAACTACCAGGGATGGAATACATGTGTCAGTTAAAGTTCCATTAACCAGTTAAATTACAGGTAACTAAAAGATGTTGTAAAAGTCCTTAACACCAACATACAGAGATGAAAGAAAACTGCACTTACAATAATTTTCTCAGCTGTTGCAATAAAATCTACATTGGATCCACCAATGACAACCTCAAAAAAATAAGAGAGAGAAAAATATTACAGCAAAAAAACAGACTTCAGTTAGTTCTCTTCGCAAAGAATTAAAATACAATAATGATAGACTGCATTTATTTAAATTTCTTTTTAAGAGAAGTATCAACCACCCCAGGGGTTCCTGTTTTCATGTTGACTGCCCAGGGATAGCCATCAGATAACCTAAGCTGTATGGCACTAAGTATATTCACTTACTGGTCTTTTTAATGTGCTCCATTCTGTGGTTGAATCTGGCATTCCAGCTGGCAGCTTACTTTGAACATTCTGTAAAGAGAAATGATAATGGCCATATGGTCTCAAAAATTCAAACCAAAGATTAAATTTGAACCACAACAGTTACACTCCATCAGCTGTTGGCCGAGGTGACATGCAAAATGAACCCATTTCTGTGTCTCTTCCAAGCTACACTTACCACATCTTTCTTTTCCTTGAGTTTACGTAATCTGCAGAGTTCAACAGCAATTGAACTTCCTATTTGGCTATTGTTTTTTATAAGTGCTATATCTGAGAGTGGTAGTTAAGATCTTACACTTGTAACACAAAATAGCAATTTAAACAGCTCACCCTTTAACGTAAATGACCTAATAGATGCATACCCATTCCCAAATAAAGGCATCTCATCTAATAAATGCCCCCTCTACGTTGTTAAAATTGTATTAGTCACCCCTCTATAATACACACACCCTGTCTAATAGATGCCCCCTATGAGAATTACTACAAAATACTTGGAATTAGAAAAAAGGAGTGAAATCATTTCATTCAATGACCCTGATTTGGGATTTGAAAGAGTAATATGGATCTCTAGATGGCCTAGATGGATCACTTGATGGGGTGGATATCCTGCTATTTTTAAACTCTTTTAATCTTTTTGCTGAAAGCATATTAGTTTTGTTAAGCTTGTTACAGTGTTAGGAGAATAAACCCCTTTTAAACCCCTGTTATCTATTAAACACCCCCAGCTGGACTCGTAAAATTAAATAGACTTCCTGGGCGTTTAAAAGGCCATATGTGGAGTACCACTAAAGTCCCATAGGCAGCAATGGCAAGTGTACTGTGCTTCTTAAAGTTTTAAAATTAAGATAAAGCAGTGAGTTACCCCTGAAGTTAAATCACAATCTTCCTTTAATTGCGTGGATATGCTGCAAGTACATTGAACATCCATGATCATGTGGCACTTGGATCTTGGACGGAGATTGTAATTTAATAATAATTATATTAAGACAATACAAATCAAGTACAAAAAAGTGGATACTGGCTTGAAGTGACTGTCCTTTTGTAAGTTCGTTCACTCTCTTCAGCACAAAAGGTGTCACCTCCTTGCCTAAAACACCTTGATCACTGTAACGTTAAATGCACGAACTTCACAAAATTAGTACGAAGAATAAATCTATAGTTAACTTGGCCCTGCAAGATACATGTCATGGTTCACTTTTCTGTTTCAGTTCATTATCATACTCAAACACAAAGGGATGTCGAAATAAGTTGAAACCCAGCATAAAATGAAATCAACATTCCTGGTCAATTTTCAAGGACATTCAATTTTTAAGGACATTCCTTGAACCACTGATAAAATTAATCAATAAACAACTCATAATAGTATTCAGATTTTTAATTCTGCCTCTCCAAATTGGGCCAGATTAAGTCATCAATGAGAAATTGTGTTGCTGCATTCAAATAAATAGAAGTGCATTTTAATTATTAATGATGGTATGCAGTACCTAAAAAACACCAGTCATCATGAATCCTCTTTAACAGGGGCACCCAACGACAATTTTCGGAAAAATATCTGTTCGGAAGACGATTTGAGATCTAGAATTTTCGGAACATTTGTTGTAAAATTTCTTGCTTGCCTGCCTCCCCTAGGATTTTCGAACATATATTGAAATGGTATAATTGCCTATTTTAACGGATTTTTCCCTATTTTTCCAGTGGATCTTAAAAGCCCTCGGAAAAAAGACCGACTTTAAAAGCTTTTCCATTCAAAACTAGGGATATTAAAAACCTAGTGATCTGAAAGTCGATCCTTTAGGCTTGTCTACTTTTTAAAAATGGGGATAAAAATATGCCTTTATCCACCGTTTAAATACTAAAATATGTTTAACAATGCTATGTTTAAGTGGTTTTGAACTATATTCTCGTTGGGTGCCCCTGCTTTAAGGCATTTATAATTATCTACTAGGAAAATTAACACCCAGTTTTTACCTTGCTTCTTGTAAGGCATATTGAATAGCTTTCTCAACTTCAGCTCCAGATGCAGCGTGCTCTTTTGCTATTGGAACAGCTATTACAATTCCACTAGTTGACCCAAGGGATAAATTGGCATCTGAATCATTTAAACAACATCAAAACATTGGTACACACTTGTCAAAAAATGCCAAAAATTTTAAAGACTATTAACAGGTATAAGTTACAATTTCTGTCACAAGACTAATTGATAACCTTATGCCACAGAGGAAAACAGCAAATGCAATCAAAACATGGGATTGCTGCAAATAATGTTTATGCTGGCTGTGCTTGATGAGGAGCCTACAACAGTATATGCTGCATGGGGCATGTAACATTTTTTGCAACATTTTAGAGCAATATTAGGGTTGGCACACTTTGGTTAGTGCATGGCCTTCTGTGCATACAGACCCTTGTTCAATACAGTCCAAGTGTGACCTCAAATCCTTGTTTCAATTTTTTTTCTTTAAATGGGGCCTTAAATACCCTTAAAACAGAGCATGCCATTAGCTTCAGGTTTATCATGCAGTCTTATAATTACTGTTGATGTGTTAGTACCCTATGTCACTAAGGACCTTTAGATAACCTTTTTTTACCATTTTCATGATTGTAATTTGCAAAGTGTTTGATCTTACCAATTAATTTAGCTGCATCCACAGAAGATTGTACATTGTATGGAGACTGCAAATATTAATTTTTCAAGAAGCAGGTTGTTAGAGCAGACAGAGCTCAACTGGATAGGTTGCAAAGAAACTTTAGTTAGTTTTACAGCTTGTCCTTCGAGCCAGCTGTAGCTAGCAATCCAGGATCAGTCATTTTAACTAGCTTGAAAAAAAACGTTTTGATAAGCAGGATTGATTACAGTTCTTCTGTAATTTGAACCCTTGCCAAAAAACTTCACTTGCCCATCCGGCAAGTTTATATTATATTATTATATAGACACAAGTGTTTTACTGAAAAATATACCACTCATAAAATTCATAAAAAGTACATCAGGGACCTGAGTGGTTTATTTTCCATAATCTCACACGTGAGTTTATCAATGACGTAATTTCGGTTATTTCCCTCTATTATTTTATCGATGTCTTTTTGTCTATATAATAAAAAGAATGTTCATTACACGGCGGCTTGAAGATATGAATTTTATTTTCGAGTGGCAAAAACAATATTTTACTCACTCGCTGCACTCGTTCGTAAAATATTGTTTTGCCACTCGAAAATAAAATTCATATCCTCGCACCACCGTGTAATATCCTCTATGAATAGAATTTACAAGTTTGATAGCAAAATCCACTAACCCCGGGCTATTAGACATGACTGTCTTAGCAAATGCTTTAGGACTGACTATAATAAGCATTAAAGCATTAAATTTGAGCTTGCTACCATTATCAATTGCACTTTCCCCTTTTTTCACCTCAAGTAACATTTTATTTCACCAACTTTAATTCATCACTTTGTTGGATAAAGATTTGTTACAAAATACTACACACAAACAATGTCAACTGAAAATTAGTTTGGGTAACTTGCAACAACAACAGTTTAAAACAAAGATCAGAAAGCACACATGTAGAATATTAACAAATTGGAGTTTTCCCTGCAGTTTAATCCCAGGCATGGTCTGGCTATTGCATGTTTTCATGCATTTAACAGTTTGCAACATTTTATAGCCTATTGAGTCAGAGCTGCTAATTGCTAGCCACATAATGTGGGAAAGAAATAGGAACAATTTACACGTAGTCAAGAATACTGGCAGAACTCTTTCAAATGTGCTACTTTATAATAACTGTAGCATTCCCTGTCTACAGTTGATCATTACAGTTTTATCGTACAAGGAAAACTCTAAAGGTATTATCTTTAAACACAAGTCAGAATTACCGATTTAAGGATACACCACCTCTACAAAGTTAATAATAAACAAACAATAAATGACTGCACTAGCTATCAGTCACCTTAAATCCACTTTGAGGTGTAAAAAAAGCAGGAAAATCCAGTGTATCTCCATATGTGGCCACTAGAACTCCGTGAGTCTCCTACAAAAATAATTAAAAATGTACAGATAGATAGATAGATAGACAGACAGACAGACAGACAGACAGACAGACAGACAGACAGACAGACAGACAGACAGACAGACAGACAGACAGGACCTACAATCATTATAAGTAAATTCTTCCCAAAACCAAACAACCAGAAGACACAACTTACTAAATACTCCAGTGTCAATCCAATGTCCAAAATAGATTTTGCTCCAGCACAAACTACCGCTACTGGTGTTTTACCAAGCTCTGTCAAGTCAGCACTGATGTCAAATGCTGTCAAAATACAGTTTGGCAAACTTTAATGTCACGGTTAATGGAAGGTACAACTTCTCAATGTCATAATTCTTCAGAAGAGAAAAAAACTGTACAAAACACAGTATAAAAACTTACTTGACTGAGCTCCCCTGTGCACACCACCAATACCTCCAGTAACAAACACTGGGATACCTGTGCTGTTAGCAGCAATCATTGTACTGGATACTGTGGTGGCTCCTGTCAGACCCTGTCAAGTTCAAATGTTATCATACAACACATTTTGTAATAAAATTTTGGCAGCAATTTTTTTTTAGAAATAAAAAGATATTAAGAGGAAATCTTTAAAAACAGCTGATGTAAAACTATCACTACCTGAATAACTTTTTAAACATTCCCAATGGTTGTTAGATTTGATCCTACAAGTACAGTTATTCTCTGTCAATGCATGAAAAACAGGCTTTGTTATCTTGCTAGTACATGCTTATAAATTCACACAAATTTTCATCCTAAAACAAGCCAACAGAGGCTAACTGTATTTGCGTCACACAAGGATAACATAACTTAACAATTTAATGATGTCTAAATGCTAATCCAGACCTTGCTGATCACATATGGCAAGTCCCGTCTTGATGTTTTTAAAGCGCTGGTGTCTTGAGCAAGCATCTCTAAATCGTCATCAGACAAACCTTTCAAAGACATGAACAAACAACAACCAAATTAACTTACAGTGTACTAAATATTCAAATTATGTGACTATTTCATATCCCCACTGAGTGCAAAACAAATGACAACTGAAGGTGATTGCTTTTCCCTAAGTGGTTTTCAAATATATGACACTTCATTAAATGTCAATCAATGGATGGATAAAGGTGTGAACATTTGTATATTTGCAAAATTGTACCATTTTGAAGAAATAAAAGTCATCACTATATATAGCAGTGTAAGTGGATCCTTTTGTGTTTTTTCTGTTATTAAATAATATTAAACAGTATAGATGAAGCCATGCATTCAAGAAGTAAAAATCTTTTTTGTACAGTACATACCCACTTGTATTTTTCCAGCCATTATGGCCACTGTGGCTGGTACTGCCCCATTGCTTCTCACAATTTTTTGTACATCTTTTGCAACTCTACAAAGAAGTTAATTGTAGCACCAGTAATTCATAACGATGGAACAATACTCCATCATGATTATTTAGCATGTTAACTTATTTTAACCCCCTTAATAAGGGATTGCAGGTCTTGTCTCCTTGAAAGAATAAAAGGCATGCATGTTGGGCGGTAGCATGTTGCATGACATTGCCTGGGGAGACTCAGAATGATAAAGATGATGATGATCTCCAGACTGAGGATTCACCAAGCCTAGCTTTGGACAATTGTTTTGTTTTACTTGGGACTGCATACCACTATTCTGCATACCATACGACGGTATACAATGGGACACAGTTCTTATTTCTCCCCCCTCAGTGATGGTCACCACTTTTGGTACACAAGGTGGAATTCTGGAAACAAGTGCTCTGGTAGTAGATGTAAGAATGATTGTCACTACCACCGCTTTTGGAAGTTTTGTAATACACTAGTGTAGCTGTAATATGTGCCAGCCTGAGGTGAGGTCCAATCTGAGAAAGCAGGCCAAGCGAAGGCAGTGCTACATAGACATTAAAGATTGCGGGTCTTAAAAAAATAATTCTGAGCTCATCTAAAAAACTCAACAAGCAGTTGAGTCAATGTTGTGTCTCTTAAGCTGTATACAATTTTGGTTGTCTTGGTTATGTTCATGGTGAATGAATGCACATAACATTAACCAAAGTTTACCAAGTAATGGTAAACACTACTTGTAAAACACTGTAGCTAGAATAGTATGGCCATAATATTTTTCAACATATAGAGCTGCCCATAAGAGGCCTCTGACACTGAATAGATCTTTCAATACCTTATATTTTCTGGATAAGGCATTCCATGTGTAATAATGGTTGATTCCAGAGCAACAATAGGTTTTCTTCTGACAAGGGCCTCCGCAACTTCTGGGTGAACTTGAATAAGCCGCTCTGGCAAGCTGTTAAGGACGGATGATCCAGGACCAAGGGAACGTGATATGCGCCGAGCTATCTGCCTCAAGTGTTTTGCTTGTTTTAGAACTTGATTAGATGTTTGAATATTAAACATCTTAATATATTTTCTAAAAAGAGAACAATGACAAGAGTATTCAACAATAAGAGAGTGTTGTAACTGGGATCTCTGTGAGGATATTGCAGTAATATACATGTATGCAGCTGTATATCTCTCACACTTATCACATGCTTATCAATTTGAGATAAGATTATTTTGCAAAGCTTGAAAAAGGCCTGTCTTATTATCCTGGACAAGAGGATTTTCTTGCTGGACAAAATACCTCTAAAGCCTGGTTTTCACTAGCGCATAAGCATAAGTAGCCTGTGAACAGGCCTTTGGTCGAGCGGGGAACTGGGGAGAGGGAAAAGCCCCCCCTTTTCTTTCCCTTCGCTATTTTTTTCCCCAAAAAGAACCGAGAGCCTGTTCACAGGCTAAAGCATAAGCATAAGGACATACACACGCACAGAATGGCATACTTGACTCAATTCTCGATACCAGCTCTCCTCAACCCGATATGATAGACAAGATGGGGTACGAAGCATCTGCCATATTGCCTTTGAAATGTTCACATGAGGTCTGGGCCAAAGTGGCCTTTGACTGGTCCACGGCCTTGTGCTTGTGCTTATGATGTCAACCCAGTTTTCACTAATGAAAGCTACAACATAAGCATAAGTATAAGCACGAGAAGAAAGAACTTGTCTGTTTTTCATGTGCTTATGCTTATGTCGACCCAGTTTTCATTTGCTTACACATGTACTTGTGCTTATGCTTATACTTATGCGCTAGTGAAAACTACACTTAAAGCTGATCACTGACTCAATGGGCAAGTGTCCAAGCTATTCATCTTATAATTAAAATGAGAAATATAGCAAGCATGGCACTGCAATGCCCCTATACCAGGAAGGGGAGATAAGCTTAACTACAGAATACAGGGCAAATTTTCTAGGTATATTTATTGGCGTGGCTCGGTCGGTGGCTTAGTAGTCCTGACTTTTGAGCAAGCCAATGAGCCATCGAGCTACTAAACTATATAACCTTGACTGAAGAGCCATCAAGCCACCAAGCCATGAAAATATATACATGTACTTGCTCTTAAACTTTTATACTTTTACATCCTTTTTTTATGTCCATTTTATTTTTACAATTATGTCTCATATCTATCTCGTTCTTCAATACGGAGCCACCAAGCCACTTCTAAAATATGGCCCTGTATTCTGTACTTGCTTCGGAAAATTGGAGTGCTGCTCAAGTTTCCCAAGAATTTAGCCCACAATTTCAAAGTACTTTGTTGACGGGGAGGGGGGTATGTTAAATGGAATGGCACTCACATTTGAATGTGTGAATAAAATAATTGGCAGTGAGGGAGGGGACGGGGTCAGCACGAGGGTGGATTCCAAAATTATGGATCAGACAAATTTCTGCTAAGCACAAAGTCATATGAACAGAGGACAGATGATTGCTGCTGTCAGTAATTCATTGCATTTCATTAGACTATCTGGAGTTCTGAAGACAAATGTACGGAATTATGTAATCAGCTGAATCAGAAATATAAAGGGCAGCTTGGTTGTCAATTGCAAGCGAACTTGCGGAAAATCGTGAGACAATTCTTGAATAAAATGGAAAAGATTTTCAATATTTACTTACCAATATTTACTTGATCATAGCATTCTTCTTTTCTGCTATAAACTCCGGACCGTCTGTGACATCACCAGAAAGCGGCCAGCACTGTCTCGAGGAAAAGTCGACTATGTATTGATTTATTTCAATCCAGTCGGAAATTGGTCGGAAAACTGTCGAAAACTCGTCGTAGTGACTGACAGCAAGGCATCTTGGGTAATCGGAGAAATTATGGTATGCCGTGAATGACACGTGCTAATTCTCTTTCTTTCAAGTTGTCCTTGAAGTAAGGTGCGATCTAACTTTGCCGTTTATTTTGTCCATTATGAAGCTTTCCACGGATGAATTTTTCCGCTAAAGGAATCATTATATTTCTTCTTATCCTTAAAGTTCTGAATGGCTAATTTATTACGGCCAGAAACAAAGTAATCGTAATTTCTTTGTGTAAGATTTCCGTAAACCCCTCAACATTTATCGTGTACTGTTTTGGAAAGTTTAAAACTGGCATTTTTAGCAACCTCTAGATCGTTTATTTCGAACCGCATCGAAGGTCGTAATCATTTTTGTTCACTTTGTATCGAACCCACAAAAAGAATGACGATTTAGAAGTCTGTACGATAACTCATTCACTTGTGTATTAAACTGTGTATAGAAAATAAACCAAATTTAATAGGGAAGTTTTCGTCTGTTTATCACGTGGTGTTGGTTTTTAATGCTTCATTCGAAAAAAGCTCAAATATGACTGTTCCCTTAAAGGCAATTCGGTCATTTCGAAGTAATTTAGCCCCCCAAGTAATGTACTATTCGATTCCAAAACTGCCCATCCCTCCCCCCGGGCATACCCCATGCATTTGACTGGAGTTTTGCTCCATGACCCAAACTGAAGTCTGCCCAGTCGGGCATTTGACTTTGTGTCAAAACTCTGGTCAGAGTCGCCAGCAAAAGTGTTTAGTAAATTCTTTCTGCATTCGCGATTCAAAGGTCATTGCTTCTATACTCACTGTTTTGTTGGGATATTTGAGAACCTTTAAAAAAGGCCCGTTAAATGTGAGCGTTTTGGAATGAAAAATGTTATTGAAATGACAAAACCCGCTTAAGACAGTTTTCCGTGACTTAAATATTTTGGTTGTGATTAGAAGGATATTTACATTTGAATGAAAAGTTTGAAGCTTGAGAAAATTTTTGAATAGTCACTAGTGGGTGGGGGATTTGGCGCTTTTTGAAGTGCTAGCTGGTGAGACATTTGGCCATCTAAACTACAGTCTATACCTACATAATGGGGAATTGGACACAAATTCTCCCAAAAAGTCAAATGCCCAGGGGTTTTCCTGGAGGGAGTGGGGTACGGGCGGTTTTATAAATATTGCATATTTGAATGACTTAAAAATAGGGGGCTAAGAAACCGGGGCGAAATGACCAATTACCCCTCAAAGTATACCCAGCCAGTACAATGGACAAAGTCAATAATTGATAACACTCCATAACTATCGATGAAATTTATTGATTAAAATTAAAATTGATAAAAATTAGTAGAGAAAAAAATTGTTTTCAATCGATAATTTTTCTGGTAAACAGCATGACGTTCAACTCAGCTGTGCCCAGCGTTTGGCATTTTCATTTGTGTGCAGCAATACCCAATTTCGCACAAAAAAAGTTAGGATTGAAAGAGTAGATTCTTGGTACGGTTACACTGAAGCATTCAAAAGAGTTTGTGCACATTAAACGTGCCTATGAGTCCTGACAACTGTGTATTTGATGGAGAAATGGTCTCCTGCCCCTTTATGCCTATCATTGTAATTGAGTTTGATTTTGTTTTCAGAATGTTATGACAACAGTGTTTCTTCTCCGTTTTTTATTCTTTCTAGTCTTTAAACGCTGTTGTGCGCAATCCTTTACCAGTCAAAATGGTCAGGGAAGACAAGGCAACATGGAAGTCAAATTACTTCATGAGGATCATTGTAGGTTAATGTGATATTTAAAACATAAGAGACTAATATTCTTTTGTTGGAACCTTGCACATTACCACAATAGTGACTAAGACTTAGTGTGTAAGGTATAGCACAAATTTGATTACAACAGTATGAGCATGGCTTTGGTGTACCAATTAAGTCAGTATTTTCATTTAACTTTCTTTTTTCTGTCGCTCACCGGCAGTTGAACAGACTTTCCACACATGGGCTGGTTTTTACCCGCGATTTTGCAGCCATAGTTGAGTCATAATGAATCGGTCAAATCGAAGCTTCAACATGCCCCCAACCGGGCATACCCCAGGCATTTGACTCCTTTGCCGTCCGAGGGAGGAGGGAATTTGATTATCAGTGTCTTCCAGGGGGTGGGGAGTTTGATCCCCATGCTTTAGGGGTGGGGAATTTGAACTGCACTCTCGATTTCATGTTAAATCTTTAGCGTAGCGAGCTATGGGGGACGCGGTGTTAGAGGATTTTCTTGGAAAAGATTGTGCCTCTGAGGCCAATTGGTTACGAGGAAAGGGCTTGAACAAGTTTTGTGGCGTATTTGAAGTATTTAAATTTTAAAATTTTTAATATTGGATTCAGGCTTTGAATGTATGAATGTATTTTACTGTTGTGTTTACAATGAAATACAATACCTATTCCGGCGATTCAATACAACATAAAATAAAATAAAAAGCTCAGGTTAACTACTTTGACCTACTGTAAGTATGTTAATTAATAAGGTGAGCAATGATGCAAAAGGTTCCACTGTATTTCAGTAAAGGGTCATTTAGTATTTTGTTCAACGTACTGTATTATTTTAATCACATGCTGAAAAGTAATTGTTCGTTTACTTTCGCCAACAGCAATACTTGGATGAATACCCTAAGTTGTTTTTGGTGGGTGTTGACAATGTGGGTTCAAAGCAGATGCAGCAGATTCGCCAATCCCTGCGTGGACGTGCTGAGGTTCTTATGGGCAAAAACACCATGATCAGAAAAGCCATCCGAGGACACTTGGATAACAACCCTGCCCTGGAAAAGTGAGAAAGTTTAAATGTAAAGTTTGTAACTAAAAAGAACAGGGTTCGCACAGTCTTGAAAAGTCCTTGAATTTTAGGGGAAGTCCTTGAAAAGTCCTTGAATTCCATTTTTCCTTGAAAAGTCCTTAAATTTCTGTGCAAGTCCTTGAAAAGAGCTTGAATTTTCTTCAACTTTGAATGTAGTAGCCTGGAAAGAATTTTTTGATGCATTTTGGTTGTCCAAGACAGAATATAAATCGTATCTCAGTGAATGTAAAGGTCATTTACATAAAGTGCTCCATGTTTTATGCAATAATTAACTATCAGTTTAAGACAAGTGAACTGAAAAATGTAGAGAATTTGGTGAAGCAAACAGTTAAAGCCTTAAAGTCTTATTAGAATATACTGGGAATATGCATTTTTGTACAATCTGTGAAATTATATTCCTAGTAGGTTGTCCTTGAAAATCTAATGTGGTCCTTGAAAAGTCCTTGAAAAATGGTTGCAATTTTTTGTATGAACCCTGAAGTAAAGTAAGACTAGTATGCAACTGCCTAGATAAGGTGCTTATCCAAAAGGAAAGAAAAAACTATTTTTTAAGAGCGGTGTAGCTTACATTATTCTGCCTTGTACTCTGTACTGCTAAGGAATACAGCAGACATGACAAGTTTGTCGTAATTGTCACGTGCACTGAGCCAGTCTTGTTCTGGAGCAAACATATGCTTGATTAAGAGAAAAACTTTTCACCTGGAAAGAGTAGATCATAAAGAAACGAGAATCAGGATTTCTGCAAAGACTGCTGGTGTTATCACTTTTAAATTATCACGTATTTAGTGCATGTTAGCAAGTTGTATGGCTGCATTATTCCCTTGGTCTTGGTGTGGAATAAGCTGCTGTTTTGTTGGTTATGTTACAATACTTATCACTAACACACTTCTACAAAAGAGGGATTGCATATTCTGGCATTTTTTACAGTGTATTATGTACTTCCATTGGACTGCCTCTACCACACAACATTTTAATAGCACTAACATCAAGTGAGCTCACCCATGACCAGTGTCATAGGTCAGATGTCAGGTTATGGGCCTTAATGATAGCCCTAACATTTACTTTATTGTAGGAAGTAAATGCTCCATGAAATTAAGGTACTGGAAATTAGTGCAACTTAAATTAATGCAAATTTAGTGGAAGGTGACTTTTGAACAAAGGAAATTAATGCGAAATAGAGGGTAACGTTTAAAAATTAAGGAAATTAACGCGATGTTTACAATGAAACAAAACTTGTAGTTGTTGAGAGAATTAGAATAAAGTTAAACTTAGAATCTGAAATGGATACTTTGTTCTTGGTTCTTTCCTTAAACAAACGAAGGGGGTTAAGCGAAGAATCTGGCCTCTTCAAGTTCTACACAGTTTCACCGTTATTTGGGGAACTCCACGCTGATAAAATAGTCCTCTTTCTTAGGTGTCGAGAATGTCAGAAGGTATTGAGAAATTGGGGTCAGAATAATGGAAATTAAGGTTGCAGAAATTAATGCTACACTTAATTAAAGGTGCGGAAATATTAATGTTGTCAAAATTTAGCACTTAAAATTTGCGTTTTTTTTAATGAAGCATTTATTTCCTATGATGGGGTATGTTATTATTATTACATGTATTATTATTATTATTTTATTATTTTTTGATTGAGTACTGTTTCCTTACAGGCTGATTCCTCACATCAAGGGCAATGTAGGCTTTGTGTTCACCAAGGAAGATCTTGCTGACGTACGTGATCTTATCCTGGCAAACAAGGTTGCTGCACCGGCCAAAGCAGGTGCTCTTGCTCCAATTGATGTGTTTGTTCCCAAGGGTAACACTGGGCTAGGACCTGAGAAGACCTCCTTTTTCCAGGCCTTGGCTATTCCAACAAAGATTGCCAAAGGAACTATTGAAATTTTGGTAAGTATGTGTTTTTGTTGCTGTGCAGTTAAACTTAGGGCTCTTTCCAAAAGTCAGAACTGGCCAGCTGGATTATGGCTGGACCGGTCATTTTGACAATGAAATAGACTTTTTCCAAGAGTTTTTGCTGAAAAACCATCTCTTTTGTGCATACTAGCTATTTAGGATTTGACTGATCTGGCTCGATAGTTTTGATTAAAAGTGAAATTCTCATTGCGACCGGAATGGTCTGTCTAGTCAGTTGTGGAGAGTGGAAAGTGCCCTTAGTCTTTAACCCTCCAAGTCCTAATAGTGATCAACATCAATTTTCTCCTAAAAATATCCATATGTTGGCAAGAGAAAAGGTTATGTTAGTTAATAAAATAATCACTAAAGAGAAAATACCTTGATCTTTTATCAAATTCTCTCAACTAATTCTTAAAGGAAATGTACAGAGATCACTTTGGAGAATTTGTACGCGGATATTGGGGTTTAAAGAGTTAAGCAGCATGCATATAAGTCTTGTCCAAAAGCCTGAGGTAGTGGATTTTGCTATGAAGCTTTTAAATTCTGTTCTTACATGTACATGTAACTTGTCTGATGGGCAAGTGATATTTTGGGGCGAATTCAAATTACAGAAGAACTGTAATCAGTCCTGCTCTGACATCAAAATTTTTTTTCCAGCTAGTTGAAATGTATAGTACACACTAGCTAAAGCTTGTCCAAAAGGCAAGCGGTAAAACTGACTTTCTTTGCACCCTGCTTCATGTTCTAATATCAATGCACAAATTTTCCCGGCAGTTCTCACTTCATCTCTTGTGGTATACATGTAACAAAGGAGAAATGTTTTATTTAAAGATGAAGACACTTTTGTGTTTTTGTCTTTTCGTTTGTTTTGTGGTTTAATTATTTTTTAAAAATTTAAAGTCTTTTTGTATTCCTGTTGATCTAGATTATAAGCAAACCCTCCCTTGAATGAAAAGGAATGATCTTGTAACATCGCAACTCGTAGGCAACTGCTGTATTGTTTATTCTCATGTTTGATTTTGCTCTCTAGAATGATGTGCATTTAATCAAGAAGGATGAGAAGGTTGGTGCTTCAGAGGCCACTCTGTTGACCATGTTGAAGATTCTTCCATTTTCCTATGGTCTTGTAATTGAACAAGGTAAAAGCTTTTCTACAAATATAACTTATGGCTTTTAAGTCCTTTCACCAATTTATCATACATTGCACCAATATTTTTACTAACTGTACTTCAAGAGGTGACAAGTTTTAGGTAACATATTTTGCAGAGCATTATTTTTTGGGGAGGAGAAAGTTCATTAAGACCAGATGCCACACATGACATCTGGTAGTTTGACATTGCTAGATCCGGTACTATTATGTTTGAAATGTAAATAAATTGTTTAATTTTAGACTTTTCCATGTTATTCAGAGTGCAACTTCAAACATTTTCCTGGGGGACCATGCCCCAGGATCCCCATGAGAGGTCTTAACTTTATCACCCATGTTTTAGCCTAGTGCCTTCTGTGACATGTTTTTTTCTGTGATTAGGGAGCCCAGGCTATAAAAGCCTCTTGTTTTCTTCTGTGCTCCTTGCCAGTTTCCGGTTTTTGAATTTGTAATAATTATTAATGAATGTATTTTACTTTGGTGTAAAAGAAGTGAACTGAATTGATTCTGCACTGAAAAATGTTCCTAAAAGCTTGAGTGCCGTAAATAATAATGTGCACTGTTTTTGTAGTAAAATTATGTACACACTACAATATTATATTGTTAATGCCCTAATGAAAACTGGTAATAGCCAATCAGATTCAAGAATGTGTCATCACTAGACTGATCAGTAGAATATTAGTCTCTGCACTCAAAGTTAGCGACCAGCTGGTCTCACATGCTACCATATTTTATTCAATGTACCTAAAAAAACGTGTGGTCACACTTTTGTTTGCATCTAAAAAGCCCAAGGTCAGTGCAGTTGACTGCGCTGAGCCCATCGCTTATGTACTCAGGTGTAGCCCCATGAAGGGACATAGACTCAAGGCTCTTTTTTGCACTGAATGGAGTCACTGAAAAATGTGAAATGTGTCATTGAAGGTCCTTGAAAAGTCCTTAAATTTTTTGTTCAAGAAAGGGTACGAACCCTTAACATAACTGTATTGAAGTTAAGTCATTGTGTTGTTGTTGTGTTTTTTCAGTGTATGAAGGTGGAGCCTGCTTCTCTCCAGATGTCTTGGATATCACCACTGAGGATATTCTAGGTCGCTTTGTGGAGGTAACTTTCTACTGGAAGCAACTTTCTCTTCAGCTTAGTTAACTTGGGAGTTTAAGTTGGAAAGGCAAAAGATTTGACCATTGTTAGTTTTCGGAATCGCACAATTTTGGGCTTCAATTTACACTGACACTTGTTTACGTTCACTTCATGTCATGGTTAAAGTCATACAGGATTATCACAAAACCAGAAATGCGTCTGGAAGACCAGTTCTTTACAGCGATTTTCACATTTTAATTACAGTAGTAGCCACATGTAGTCTCCGACTGCCTATTTTTTTATTGTTGCAAAAGAGAATTAGTTAACCAGAAAGCTCAAAAACACAGTAGGCCATTAATTCTGAGTTCCAAAACCTCTTGCTTTCAAAATGAGGCTAACTGCGAAACCTTTCTTGTGAAAATTAGTTTTATTGTCATGAGAATTAAAAGTCATTACTTGCACTTCGTCTTTCTTTGAAACAGAGGCGTGGGAGAAACTGAAAATGGCCTGTTACATATTTACTGGTGGGAATTCTAAATAGTTTGATATAATATGGTCAGAATTGGCTTCTTGGAAAAAAAAAAGGGTTAATCCAATTTTTTTGTCTGTTGTCTTCAGGGTATCGTGAACATTGCTTCAGTGTCGCTGCAGATTGGTTACCCAACTGTGGCATCCGTGCCACATTCTATCATCAATGGATTCAAGAATCTTGCAGCCGTTGCTGTGGAAACCAACATCACCTTCCCGCAGGTTGAACAGCTCAAGGCCTACCTGGAGAATCCAGAAGCCTTCGCTTCTCTGGTTCCTGCTGCAGCCACCGAAACAGCTGCTGCCCCGGCGGAGGATACGAAAGAAGAAAAGAAGGAGGAGGAAGAAGAGGAAGAAAGTGATGATGACATGGGCTTTGGTCTGTTTGACTAAACAAGCTGTCATCACTCTCGTTGAACCATGCTCTAAGATTAAGCTTCATCAAAATAAAAACGTTTGAAAGTATTTACTTGTTTCTTTGATGATTCATAATGTGATGTGTTTAGTGAATAACCAGTCAAGTCACCCTAAAGTCACATCGCCATGGTTTCTTTAGGTTACGTTGCCTGAACCCCAGTGTTTTTTTTACACTAACGTAGCAAGTACTTCAAAAAATGCGCGGAATAAGAGTGGAATGACGGTGTCTGCATTACGGTCTGGGGCAACATTCCGGGCGAATTGGCTTCGAGTCGTGTAGGGAGAAGTATATTCTGCTACTGGAAAGCCCTGATCGAGATCCACACAGTCGGCTCCTCTCTATAAGACGGACACTTAGAGTTGGGCCCTCCCGGACTTTCATTTAACTCAGTCCATAAGACGGACATTGCTGACTAAAGGACGCTAATTGCCTGCGTGCCTGTCCCAAAGCTGCCAATAGAGACCTTGCGATCCGACAACGGCGACGTCCATGAAAACGTCGCTGAAAAATAGACTTCGCATCCTTTTAAACTTTTCCCCGATTATCTCAATTCTCCCTGTTAATTAAAAGAAGGGAATTTTGGTTGGAGCTGAAGAGAGTGAACCGCGCCCGAGTTCAGACTGAGATCGTAGAATTTATTGCCCTGCCGTTCCTGTTCTCAAGTGAACTTGAAATTTCGTTATTTCACGTCGTAGTTGTACAGGGACAGCAAAGAAATGTACAAAAAAGCGTGATGCACGTGCAGAGTTGTTGTTTTGCTCATTAAACCTATTGCTTTTTTGACGTTCTCCTTGCTGTCGCCGTCGTAGTTTCGTAAGGTCCCTACTATTGGAGAGAGCTGGCTGTGACGTTCAAGGCGCTATTATTATCAAACGACATGTGATGATGTCTCGATTTCTACCATACTTTCGGTGCGACTCCTTGTAAAGAACAGAGGTGTCGTCTTGTGATATTAGTTTAGTCTCCAAACGTTTCGTGCCTGGCCCTGCCCTTCATCTGTTGAGTTCAAGTCAAATTAAAGTAGGCAAGTGTGACAATTGCACAGTGCGCTGCAGCTTGACACTTTTGAATGAGCACTGTTCAAAGTGGAAAGGACTATTCATTCTCACTACAGTAATCGGTTTTCCTCCACTCACAGATTCAGCCAATTATAGCGCAAACAGAGGTTTGAGATAAGCACCCGTCCAAAACGGTACTTACCTAAAAAAAAAGAAGTTAACCTCCTCATACCTCAAATGTGTCTGTCTTATTTACCGTTTTTCTACTAAAAAGGCCATTTTCAGAGCCCGCCAAACTGAGCTGAGGCTGGAACAAAGGCTAGAGCGGGCCTCATTATTCCGCGCGGCCAAAGGATTTCGAATCACGTGCTCCAAGCGCCAAAGCGAATTGACCCAGAGGGCCTGGGAAAACACCGTCTGGGCCGAGTTGTTCGAAGGCCAATTAGCGCTTGACCTAGGGTTAGATTTAACCCAGGTTTCTTTTTCTTTTGCTCAAAGACATTTTCTGGATAATTTTCAATTTTTAAAATTGAAAATTTATTACGCAAATCAAACTTCACACGCATTTATTGAACCTTTAATATAAAGAAATGGATTAATAAACTGATCGCAATAGAAATGATGCAGAACCGTTTATGAGGGTCATCCTGTTCCTCGGTAACATGGCTCGCGCCCACGCTCACTGTTACACAGCAAACGTGACAGATTTGCGAGATTCATGTGCCGTTTTAAGCAGCCTCGGGGAGACAATTGCATTGCTGTGTCTCATCAATAACGGAAAGCTAAATCCTCTATTACGCAACATCGTTCTAGAGGTGCTAATGGGTGCAATGAAACCGCAGTTCCAAATCATTTGACTAAGCTGTCCGTGGTTATACATTTCCTTTCTCTCGTCCTGGTACGACTTGGTGAAGCTCTCTCGAAAAGCATAATAATTCGTAGACCTCTTACGCCGTTGTGTTTGACCATTTTTTAAGCGTTGCCAACTCAGAGGTTTCGAGTAAAACACCTCTAAGTGCGATGTGGATCTGGAAAGTTTTGGAAACTTAATAACATTCTGCTGATGGAATTTCGTCGTGGTTTCAAAGTCAGTGTGTAAGCGTGCTTCGTTGTCTTTGGTTTTATTCATCATTTTCCAGTCTTCTTGTTCCATTGAAGCGCTCCCCTGTGTTTCTGTCTCTGCTAACCTTAAAGTCTCAAACAATCGTAGCATTAACTCTCGTACTACTTTTTCGTTACTTAGATCGATGATATCTGGAGAGGGAGGTTTGACAACTTGTATTTTCTTTTTAGAAGTTCGTCTCGGCGTTTTCAGACCTTCTCTAGCCATCTCTGTCTTGGAGTCTGTACAATTTAAAAGTCCGGTTTGTAGAGAACTTCGCCTTACTATTCTTCTTCGATTTCTGGACGACAGCATTTCTTTTCCGGGCTCTTCAGTAACAGCTTCCTTTTTACCGGGTGCTTTTCTACCCTGCTCCTCACTGGAAACCGCAACCTCCGGGTCTGCCGAGTTTACAAGATCTTTGCGTTTCGAAGAACTCTTTGGTTTGGAATCTCTTGGTGATGTCAGGTTATCATCAAGCTTGTCTTCGCTGATGGATGGCAGAATAGTTTTGGATTTTTCGCTGCTCGCTGCTTTTGTTGCCATATAGAGTTCGCAAAATGACTTGAAGTGTTGGCTACTTTAAAGTTTTTAAAACTTCAACCGATGAGGTTAATTCTATCACAATCAATTTAGACGGAAAGCCATATTTTGCCGCAGCCCACGTTCGTTTCACCAGGTCATCTGGGAGCTTCTTTCTGCAGCAGTTCATACTTTTTGCACGTATTCGAGACGCACTTAATAATAAGATCAAGCTACTAAGCCTTTAGTGAAATCCTTTCCATTATATATCACCATAGCAACGACAGGAATAAGCCGATCCATTTAATAAAGGATTAACTATTATTACAATACCAGTCTTCAAGACCGCTTGATCACCAATATATACCAGCAAAACTGAAGAAAAAGGCAGTCATCGATAGACCAGATGAATCGTGCAGTAGATGAAAACGAAAGTGAACTTTGCAGTTAAGTCAGTTTGTTGAGTGCTGTTCTCCGATTAGCACTTTATCAATTAAGCAAGTTATTGACACAGAGATAATTGAAAAACTTAAATAAGGCATTCAAATTTCATTTTAAAATAATTAAAATTGTAAACATTCATCCAAGCGCAGCAATGCGTCATCGAATTTTCCTACAGCGTCAAAAATAGTCACTCCATTGCAACAAGAAGACTTAAATATTTTTTCCTTCTCCTACAACGCCAGTTTCCCTTTTTCAGTTTTTTCTGACAGCTCAGTCTTAAATAAGTTAATTTGCATGATTTCTTGTGTGTAAACAACGCTTCCCAAGAGAAAACTTTATTCACAAGATAATTTATTGTTGACTGTAATGAAGCTAGTGTGTTCAAACTCTTGTTCCTCAAAATACTACCTCAGTCTTCCTAAGAGCGAACGAATTGTGTTGAGGAATAAACTAGCGGTGAAACAGCTTTCTACGACGCAAAAAAGAGTTCCACCGAAAAGAACGCCATGATCCTGGTACGGAAGCTGAGGTACAGGGGGAGAAGGAGGAGGAGGAGGGGGTCAAACTGAAGGAAGAAGCGGGGGGGGGGGGGGGGAGAACCAATGGGTTTTTTTTTTTTTTTTAGGATTTTTTACAAAAATTTGCCCCCCCCCAAAAGGAAGGAATAATTGGATAACACGGGTCGGCACACCAAGCCACGGTACCGGAATATCGGGTTTCATTTGGCCCCCGTTTCTCAATAAAAAGGGGGACAAGAGACTTCGTCGGCGAACAAGAGAAAGGCCAACGCGAAAGAGCGGTGAGTGGGGGAGGGGAGAGGTGGGGGAGAGGGGGGGGGGGGGGGGGGGGGGGGGGGAAAATGGGAGGAGAGAGCGGGGGGGGGGGGGGGTGGAGAAACCACTGGTTCTTTTTTCTTTTGTAAGTATATTTACACAAAATTGACCACCACTCATAAGAAGTGATAATTGGATGACACGGCGTCGCACAACCATGCACTGATACTGTAATATCGGTTTACATCTGGCCCCGGTTGTTCAAAAGCTGGAAAGCGCTATCCACCGACTAAAATGCTATCCAGTGATTAACGCAATTGGTTTCCCAAAAGCGTGTCCGCTGGATAGTGATTTCTCCGGTAGATAAAGCTATCCAACGTTTGAACATCCGGGGCCTGGTATCCAATGTTTGCTGTTCAGAGCATACGCATCCTCGGAGACCCAGGGGCAGCTAGTCGGGACGATGGAATGTTCGTATAGTAAACTTTCACCACGAACATCCTATCGCCCCGACTAGATTTCCCTGGGTCTCCAACGATGGAGCATACGGGGCGCTCAACGTTTTGTGACAACATGGCAATGCATGCTGCACTGGTAGTAGGCCAGTAGGTATGAATAAATGATGTCTTGCTGAGGTCATATTAACTGTGTGAAATTGACAATGACATGGCAGATAATGATGATAGAGATATTTAGAATCACGTTCACGGCAAACGCCAAACGTACATTTGTACCACGTGACCTTTACTTACCGTTTGTTAAATCTTCACAAAAATTAGTAGTTTCACACCTAGTGAGCTTCATCAACAAGAATTATTTTGAAGTTTTCATCTGCTCTTTTCCTACACTTCCTACCTTGAACCTCACGATTGGCGTTTGCCGTATGTGATTCTGAGACTTTCTAATTACTCAACAAGCAGAAGACAAATGAGGATTTAAATTTTTAATTCACCTTAACAAATCTACTCAAAACAATTTTATACGACAACACTAAACTAAAGTAGCTTAAACAACACTAAAGTAGTTATTTTCGTGGTACGTAACAATTTACTGAACCAATCACAGGAAAACCTATCTCGTAATTTGCTTTTTCGAACAGAGCTGCAAACTGTGATTGGCTTGAACTTGTCACGCCATGTTTACACCAATCAGAACCTCTCTCCACCGCACAGGCTCCCGCTTGGTATCTTTAACTTCCTGTCTTTCCCCTTCCCATCGTCCCCCGCACGCTTTCCTTTTTCCTTCTCCCCAGCCCCCTTACGACACAACGAGGCCTCGGCTGCGGAGGAGAGAGAATCAGAACAGGTTATTAAACTAAAACCACTAGCGGCTTTGTCAAGTGCGTTTTCCCCAGGTACGTGCGTTTAGTTCGAGTTGAGATTGGTTCAGTGGATTGACTGAATAAAGCTCAAAACATCTCATTGCTTTGGGTAAACAGCCTTGTTTAGGATATTGCTCTTGTAATTTGTAGGCAGAGCCGCCATAGCGAGCAACCTCGCCAAGGGAAAAGCCCCGGGGACGAGTTTGCAGAGCGAGCCCACGACTTTTTTCGCCGGCTCCAAGATACCCCCAAACAAGTTAGCCTGTTCGCACAAACCAAATACTTAACAAAAAAAAAAGCAATAACAAACAAACAAACAAAAAACAATAACAAAACAAAACCAAAAAAGACGGGCAAAAAACATAACACCTAACAGAAACCTAAAAGAATGACTTGAACTGGACATCAAAAAAGCTTTCGCAGTCGACCAAAATCATAACCCGGCTCTTGTAAAGGAAACAATTCAAAAACCACATTTAACGAAATAGCTTTCAGCCCTACTTTAGGCTCGGTCCGAAGAAAAAATAATACACCATCTTAAATAGCTCTTGCAAATGCTATTTCCTAGTTTGAAAACTATGCAGTACTCAATGAGTACAAAGTTATTGTCACGGCCACAAAATTCAAGCATAAAAAGATTTGTTTTCGATGGTAAGAAGTCCAGCCTCGAAAGAGAAAAACCTACAGGCCGTTCACCATTAATGGGAACAAGAGTTGCAAACGAATGAAAATGAAACAGTACCACAAAATTACAAAAAAAATTATGGTTCAAAATCATTCAATAACTATAAATAATATCAAAAACAATCAATTGCATTATTTTTTTACTTGTCATTACTTTTAAGTACAAATAAAACTCAGTTCTATAAGCGAATCTTTGTTTACAATGCTTGGCTCATTAGCACATGAGGGTATGGTCAGCATTTTCTAATATAACTGTAATGCCAACTTCGAAAATTGAAAGAACGCAGCACAATTAGCCATTTCTAAACAGGGAAATTTACATGATTTCGTTACTTGGCATTAGTATTTTGCCTCCCAGGAACTGCTGATTTTTCTTCAACATTCAAATAAAAGCTCTTGGCAGAAATTTTGCTAATAACTCAATATTCATTTCTACGCATTTTACAAAATGAAAATTGGATTTTTTTACCGTTTTCACTTTGACCACTGTCAAAGGCGGGAGGGTTCGACATACCATCCTAAAAACTCGGTAAACATTGAGTATAATACTAAATTTGTCCAGCCGTTTCTCAACTTTCGAAGCTGATTCCGATTTGAAACACCATAGCGTCTCGACGTAACCAATAGCGTCATCAAAGATTCGCCTACTGCATAAGTTAGACTAAAACTAAGATATCAGATAGCAAGGACATGAACCAGAAAACAGCAGTATTCGTGGAAACATCGCTTTGATGGTGCACACACGCGTGGGCTCAGAAATCTGGTTCAGGTACTTGTCATCCAAGTTTGTCCTCACTAAATTATTTGGGTTTGAATGGCTGCTATCTGTTCCTAAACTTGTGGTGATGATGCAAATCTAAACTTTATCCCTCTTGTTGTAGTCTTTTAATCGAATAATTAACCATTTATTTATCTATTAGTTTTAAATTAACGTTAACCTCTTGCTACAATTGGTAACGGTCAACGAAATGACAACTTTAACATTGTGCAAAACTTGCATATTGTGTGACACATTGATTTCCGCTCATAGTTTAGTACTTAAATTTAAACAATGAAATCAATATATTTCTTAGAATTAAGCTCCAATATTTACATCTCATTGGGATTGTTGCCAGAAAAAATAACACCTTGTGGTCAAAAGTTACCCAAAGAAATTAACTTTACAACACCAAAGCATTTTTACAAGGTAAATATCACGCTGCTTAACGTGCGGAGGTATAAGTTGAAATGTCAACGACCCTCTCTAAGAAAAAGGTCCGTCTCACAAAAAATAAGTAAACAAAAGGAAAAAGAAAGAAAAAACGGGCAGTTTGCGGAAGGGAGGGTCGAAATACAATATTTATCTAAATGAGAAAAATGAAAACCACAGGGCATCTCAACTTGACGCGGTTTGACATCCACCTTAGGACTTCACAGCCTCGTCACCAGGCCAGTTCGCGCTATCCGAGTGAGCAGAGGAGGCTTGGGATCGAACGCCTGGCGTGAATTTTTCCGACAAGATAGACAGGTGACGTCACATACGAAATCGCCGAGGGCGACTGGGAACGAGGCTGAGGACCTCACTGCACAGAAGAAAGAGCCTGTGTTTCGGATTACTTCAGTTCAGTCTATTCATCTTAGTGAAAAATTTTCAATTACAAAACGTCAACCCTCGCGTAATGATAATACGAAAGAAACAAACATTAAAAATAGAACCTTTTCTACTCTGCTCAATTGTGAACGCATTTAATCAACAGCCACCGCCCTAATTAACATTAAGGGGTAGGATGCCTTCGAAATATTAAATGCACTCATAACATTTG